GTTATATACCTGGATGACTGAGAAAACAAACTTTGTGTTTTTGAAACCATTAGTGAAAAGGCCAGACTTCAGGGGTATCTGAGGCAGGCTTGAAACACAAGAGTCAGGGTGGCTTCTGGGTAATACCAGATGGCTAGGCCTCAGACTGACGAAGCCTCTTGGATGAGGGGCGAAACGTTTCTTTTTAACAAAAAAACGAAGTCCAGATGACATGATTCAACCTTTTTTGTTAAAACACAAGACATTCTGTTAAAAATTCTACCTTTGCTGTGGCCACCGAGGGCATGGACGCCATCTAGCACCGCTTGTGAAAGGCTGGCACTGCTGCTCCTACAATCACACAACGCATGGATAACGAAGGACCGATTTCAGCTGTTTGCTCTTCTGTATCTGCCTGTTTATACCTGGTGTCTCTTCCCACAAACAGGTTTGCCTCCTGGCTCATGTTTATGGCCTCCTTCTTGATTATGTCCTTCATAGCTGTGAGCAGCTCTTCCTGCTCGGTGTTGGCCAGCTGGGTGGCAAAGCCCTCCCACGTTGCCGTCAACATCTCCCCCATCGGGTCAACGAGCTTCACCCCGTTATCCTCCTGCCAACAAAGTGCAGACACAAAAAGGATGTTTGTAAAAGAGTCGGCGTGTAGGACTGCATTCATTCAACCTTTATTTAGACGGGTTAATCCCATTGAGCCTCGAGGACTCATTTACAAGAGAAACCTGCTTTTAATGAAGAATGATTATTAAATTAAATTAAAATAAATAATGTAGTTAACTAAAAGGAAGAAATGGAGATGCCTTTACAATCTGGGAGACGTGATCAACTTTGAAAGACAAAGCACAGTTTGATTTGAATATTTCTGAGTTCCTGCCTGACCTCGGGGTTGTGTGATGCGGTCACCATGACTCCGATAGTAGCTTTGGTCTTCTTGGAGCGGAGCGTGGCCAACAAACCCATCCTGAACATGATGTGGTCCAGCTGTTTGGCGTTGGTCCTAAATCCAGCTGTGCCATACTGCAACACCAACCCTGCTGGTTTAGGGTGCAGACTGGACTGCTCTAATACCGCCTTAAATTGGTCCGTCACTGAAAAACACAACAAAGAGACCAGTCAGTGATGGAGAAAGTTGTATTTTTGTGAGCTTGGGTCCTTTATTTTATGTTTTTGGGATTGAGATCATTACTTCAGCCAAAATAATACAGAATTTTCTAATATTAGAGGCAAGGACCTACAATACATATTTCAGATCAAACTGAAAATAATTTTTAGACCGAAACATTTCAGAAACAATGTAGATATTCTTGATGACGATGTCTTGGTTTTAGGAGTAATGTGACAAATTTTGAAAAGACTTAAGATTGAAGTTGTTACCTACACACTGGTCTCCTATTTGACTGCTACAATAAAAATCACAGAACCTACGTCACAGTTCTTTCTCTAAGAAAAATATGAATCAAAACCATTTTCTTGACATCAGTAAATGTAAAAGCGAGAGAATAAACTAATTCTAGGAGTGCACCGATTGCAGTTTTCTAGCCGATCACCGATTTCTAAAAATTCTGACCTGCCGATAGCGATTTTGTTTTATAAGCGACACCGTCGGGTGTTATAAGGTCACAATGCACCTTCAAAACAGACCCTTGAACAATATCATAGAAACAATACAAACTTGTTTTAACTGGCCATGAGGTAGTGCTCTGAAATATAAATGAAGTTCAGACAATTGTTGTAAAAACAAAAATAAATACATCGGTAAAATTGGTTTCTTATGATCGGTGCAAAAATTTTATAAAACATGGGCTCCCCTACTCTCTTATTTTGAGAAATCAGATGCCCTCCCTCAAACTTGAAAATTAAGCAATAACTAATCCTGCTGTAGATATAGTGCCCCCAACCCAGTGGTCTCAGTAAATCCTTGTATTTCTAACTACTGACAGTGATAGTATACTTCTATGGTTTTAAATATCCATATTCTATTTCAATCTCTGCATATATATATATACTCGTGTTTATGTTTGAATGTACGGTATACGCGTATTTACTTTATGCTGTCTTGATCTTGTGTGTTTTCATGCTTATAATCATTCAGGACTACAGCTGATTAATTTTAGTTTATTTATTTATTCATTTACTTTACATTTGGCAGCACGGTGGAAATGGATGGGGAAGGAAACAAAAAAAAAAGTCACAGCTGTTTTTTTATTTTTTATTTTTTTTTTATTTCTGTAATCAATGTTCTATTTTTTTGCTGGATGAATAATAAAAAAAAATAAAAATTGGTTTCTCATGCAAGTATCAGCCGATTTCCCCAAATTAAGAAAATCGGGGCACCCCCAATTAATTCCCAACTATTTGTCTATTTTGATCATTTTAATTGTTAAGAAAATGTGAAGCAGAACTCACAATACATGTTTTAAACAAACAAACAAACAAACAAAAAGCACTATTATACAGGATAACACGCCCAGCATTTGAAAACAACAAAGTCCATGCTCAATAATCCAGGTGTACAATCCAACATTTTTCAGCAGGTCATCTGGACAGTGAGAGACCATCTTATCACAAGCAGAACTGGTTTGTTCCACTTTGGAGTAAGCTGTTGGGGGAAGAATCAGTTTTGTTGTGTGTTTCCTTGACTGATGAAGCCTTCCGGACCGAAGGCGAAACATTTCAGCACAAAAAAAAAAAAGAAACTGTCCAGATGACCTGACTGAAAAATGTTGGACTACCAGCATTTCATGAAGACAAAATTCCCTGATATTTTTCCTGAGTAAATCCTGAAATTCCAGTAAACATTTAATCAAGCAAAATGCTCAGAGTCAGAACCTAGTCTTAGGTGGTCAAGTCACTTTCAGAGATGACAATAATTATGCTGTAGCCTACATGCATACAGCAATCAATATCAAAAATATTCTAAAAATCCACCATAGCTTAGTCAGTAAGGATACACCTGCACACTGTAGTAGCAAAACATGGACTCAATGATACTAGAATACTAGCATTAATACATGTACATGTTAAACTTTCAGAAAGATTTTAGCTTAACCAGCAGTTCCCCGAGTCATTTTCCAGTTTGACCCTGATTTCCAGTGTCTCTGGGAACCCTTAGTGGTCACATATTTTCTGCCATTTTAACCACATTTAAGTTGAAATATAAAAAAAAAACTGCTCATGAAAGACTGACCTGTCAGATAAATAGCTATTTCTCTGTTAAACTAAGTTGGTGTAAGCACTTAAAATATATATAAAATGTTGGCAATGAGCTACTTTTGAACCAATGCGTGCAGTTTTAATATGATTTCTTCTTGTACGGAGGTTTTGCTGCTTAAGTTGTGGAGTCAACAACGAGTGAATTTAAGAGAACAAGCAGATCTACACTTTATACTACACGTAAACGTTTACCTCCCCCCAAAACACTACTATTCATATAATCGCTTCTTAGACAGTGGTAAAAACATAAACGTCGTCGAGTTCAAACAAAATTAAACAAATGTTGTATTTTCCTCGCACTGACTCGTTTTTTATTTTACTTACTGTTTGTAGTTTTTTCGATTCTGTCCAAGAATGAAGTCTAGTAGACTAGTTTACAACAAGCTTCCTGGTTCTGCTGGTTCGTCCTTTCCGTGACGACGTGGCCATAGTTCAGAGTTCACTTCCGGTCATACGTCTCCGCGGCCGCCATGTTGGTGAGGCTGAACCCCGCCCACAACTGAATGAAGGCGGAGCGAGTTCTCAACTGAAACATCAGTCAAGCATGTTTTTTTTATATATTTTAACTGTATTCAATACTTTGTAAAAGTTTTAAACCACCTCTTGTTTTTTTTATACTTTTCTTCCAAGTTTCCAGACTTTCTTGCAATATTTTAAAGTCAGTAGATTTCCAGCTTTGTGAATCTTCCAAAGATTTTAATTGGACTTTAGCTGCTTTATCTGCAAATTTTCTGTCCACTTCTTTTACCTGGCCATGGCAACATGCTGGACTGTGTTTGGAAGACAAGACAAGTGCAAGACAAAAACGTTTAAACAATATATTGGGATTCACCTTGCTGGTGCTGACATAGGCTACTTTTTATGTCAAATAGTGTTATTGTTGGTGTTTTTCATAGATTCAGAAAAAATGTAAGTAAAGTATGTCTTTGTGACACGTTTCTCTAAATAAAATCACAAAAAATTTAATTTAAAGTTGTATTATTTTCTCACTGTTGGGCAATAAATCAATCTAAACCATTACTTAAGATCCCCAGAAAAGTTCTGTTTGCTAAATACTTGAAAATGACAGATATCTTTTAAAAACTACTTTTAATTCTTAGACACAAGTGTACACTATTATGCCATTTGGTTAACCCAGATTACATCATGGTTTGAGAATTTTTTGATTGGTCAGCTGACAACATTTGAGTTAATTAGCATTTTAAGCACACCTCAAACTCACTGCGGCTTTGTGTGACAACAAGGGGAAAACAAAACTCAAGACTTCAGGAGGAGAGTTATCAATCTCCACATCTCTATTTCAACCTTATACAATTTACAGATGTCTGAAGTTACTACGCTCATCTGTTCAAACAATTTCTCAGTTTAAAACACCCATGTCCTGTCATCATACCACTCAGGAAGGAGAAAAGTTCTGTTACTGAGATGAACTGGTGCAAAATGTGTTCATCAACCCTAAAACAAAAGCAATAGACACGGTGAAGGTGCTGCTGAAAAAAACGTAAGAGTGTCAGTATCTGCAGTAAAACTGTCCAATGTAGACACAGGCTGAAAGGCCACTCAGAGAGGAAGAAAATAGTATTCCAAAAGCAAAAATAAAAAAATACATTTTACAGTTTTCAAACAGGCATGAAGAAATATTTTGCTTTTGGAGACGTCCTGTGGTCTGATGAAACTATTAAACTGTTTGACCACATATATTTGGAGAAAAATTGGGAAGCTTGTAAGCCTTAACACCAACCCAGCTGTGAAGTAGGGATGTTGTGGGGGTGTTTGTTGGAGGAGGAACTGTAGCACATCACAAAATACATCATCATGAGGTAAGAACATTATGAGTAAATATTGCAGTAGCACCTCAAGAAATCAGCCAGGGACTTAAAGCTTTGCAGCCAATGGGTCTTTCAAATGAGTACTGACCCTACAGGCATGTTAATTACAGCGTGGCTTAAGGACAACACCGTGAAAGTTTGGAGTGGCCACCGTAAAGTTCTGATCTCTCTAGACAATTTGTGGGCTGAGTTGAAAAGGCGACCTACAAACCTGATTCAGTTACAAAGGATCTGTCGGGAGGAATGGAGCAAAACTCCAGCACATTATTGTGAGGAGCTGAAACCCACTTGACCCAAGTCATAAACACTACAAAATACTGCACAACAAAAGGAGAAGAAAGCATATAAACTAGTGATTTTGAAGAAAGTAATAAAACACAACACATTTAACAAATTATACATGATTTCAGTGGTGGGATGTAAGTGCAAGTACTTCATTATTGTACTTAAGTACATTTTCCATGTATCTGTACTTTACTTAAGTAGAGTTAAACGTGGGTATTTTCGACTTTTACTCCTCTACATTTTACATTAAGTATCTGTACATTCTACTACACTACATTTCTATAATGTGTTGCGTTACACGTTACATCCATGTTGCAGTTTTTTTTTATTTGTTTGTTAGTTTGAAAGTAAACAATGGCGAGAGGGGAGTTGGTCCATTGAATCACTGCAGAGTGGGCAGGTAACATTAGACCCATCAAGAAGAGCTGGACCAATGACATCTATATTCTAGTATATATGTCATTGAGCTGCACCACTAACACACCCAAAATGGATTCCATCACGGAGAGTCATCCAGAAGATACACACCATCCATGGCCTTATTAAGGCTATTGAAAGACTATTGAAAAATTATTGAAAGACTATTGAAAGACTATTGAAAGACTGCTCAGTACAGCAAGACAGATTCTCTCTCCCAAAAGAGCCAGACTGGACTCAAAAAACTTTGAAAACCAACTTCTTCTGAACTTGAACAAGAAATTCTTGCTGCAATATTAAAATGTGTCAGTTTATGGGATGTTCAGAGACAAGAGATGTCTCCAAATAGCTCAACACTCAGGTCCAAGTTTTTAAAATGGTGTCAGGAAGTTAAAATATTGTTCACTAATGATCCATTACAAGTTGACTAGACAGTATTTTAACTAGAGGTGATGACAAACTGGAGTTGAAATGATCAGAGCCTGTTCCTTTGTTGTGTCTAATGCTCCTTTTTTCATCGGACAACTTTTACTTAAATGTGTTTACTGCAGTCAAAATGACACATTGGTTTTTCTTTGTGTTAAATAAAAACTTTCAAAGGTAAAATCATTCCTCTTTCTTATTTTGCTTAATGACATTTAACTCTGCATGTCATCTCTGAAATTCTGACGCACAGAATCACAAGTCCAAGTGTGAACTGTGTCACACAATAAAAACATGTATTATCTGCAGCATTGTTCATTAAAATGACACAACACTATTAATGTATTACAGAAAATATACATACAGTGCATTTAATGATATTGTAGACCATTGCATTAGGTAGTACAAACATTCAGCAAGTACTTTTACTTTTAATACTTTAAGTATTTTTAAAAGCAAGTACTTATTTACTTTTACTTAAGTAAAAACGTTAATGTGGTACTTCTACGTTTACTATTTTTGTCTGTTTATTTGTACTTTTACTTAAGTACAGTGTTTGAGTGCTTTCTCCACCACTGCATGATTTTGGGAACTGACCCAGAACATGAAAGTTTAGTGTCATTTATTGCCCGACAATGAAGAAAAAAGCCTCTGTGTCTTTTTGCATGAACATCTGAGTTGAAATTATAAATAGAGATGATGCAACAGCAAACACGCTAATAAATTAACCCCTTCGGTGCAAAGTCACATCACTTCCTACAACGAGTGCACAAACAACCCTTTCAACCACAAGGAGAGGAGGAGAAAGAGTCTGCATGTCCGGATAAATAAACAAGCAGTAAAGGAAAAGACCCCCCACCCACACCCACACCTCTCAGCCTTACCCTGTTTGCGCTGCGCAGCTTTTTGGCGACACCAGCAGGAGCGCTGCGCATGCACTTCCTCCCTCCTGTTGGTCTGAGGAGAGGAGCCCAGCAGAAAGAAGGAGGGCGTCTGTGAGCAGAAAGGAGAGGCAAAGAGGAGCAGTGCGGCTTCTCCTTTTACTATGAAACAGGCTCTTTACTCCTGATGCGCGGACGCGAGAGGAGATGCAGTCAAAGCTGGGGCTGCGACTGACGGGGTGCTGATTTCAGCGATTATATCGGGTTTTTCACGATCAGAGAAGCGCCGCTTGCCGAGTGTTTTTTATTTATTTGTTTATTATTTACCCCCCACTGGTCTATATATATTTATTTTGGTTCAATATTTCCTGCAAGGGGAGAAAATCGCCTTCATTTTCCGCTGAGAGTTACGTAACAGAGAGGCTTTCGCTGTCCAAGGTGCTGAACGGCCGAGCTGAGGCAGGGGGTGGGGGGGGATCCTCAACCTTGGGTAAGTGTGCAAATGTCAAATCAAGTCCACCACTTCACCAATAACCAACATAATCTTTATTTCAAGTCTGAGCTCGTTTCATTCGTCTGCTTTTCACCCGCAGAAGGTCACAGGCCTGTGAGTCGTGAGGAGAAGCTCTGCACCCTCTGAGCAGACGGGAGGCTAGCTGGGTTGTATTCTGATTTTTCGACCCCCCTCCACCCTCCATCCATCACCACCGCTGCTGAAATAGATCTCCGAGCCGAGCTGGGAGAAAAATGTCGGGGCAGACGCTGACGGATCGCATCGCCGCTGCGCAGTACCAGCTGACGGGATCAGACATGGCCCGGGCTGTCTGCAAAGCCACCACTCACGAAGTGATGGCGCCCAAGAAGAAGCACCTGGAATGTAAGCGCGCCTCTTCATCCAGCTATTTGCTTATCGTGCTGCACGCGCACGGGCCACGTCACTCCTCATACTTGTCCAAGCTTTTTTCTTCACTGGGTGTGGTGCCATGTGAAAATAATATATCCATGGTGATGACCCATTCAGTGACCCATCCAGTAAAAAAGAAAGCAGGAGAACGTGATAGAAGAGGCCACTGAATTGTATTAAATAATAATAATAATAATTAAGACTTTTGCACTAAATTCTACATTATTGATGATTCATCCCCATAACTCTAACTTTTTTGGTGTAGCTGAGAATTAGCACCAAGTCTTAGTGCTTACAAATCTTGTGTTTGGAACTTTGCTGGAGTTAGCTCTGCCTGTCTGTTAGCAAAATAGCGCATGAACCTCTTGACCTATATTTATGAACCTCTTAAAAAGAAATCACTGGATGTACAGCTACAGCTGATCAACCTTTGAAGTCAAATAAATTCAAAGTGGCTGACCCAGCTATCTGAACTCATAAAATACAAAACTGGCTATAATTCAGTCAGTTGTACAGATATTAAGCTAACATTTAGTGTGGTGGTAGCTGAGAGCCATGCCCAATACATACTCTGAGCACCACTTATTGTGCAAGATTGTATATTTAAAACGTTAACATTAACTTTAGGAGTCAAAACTGTTTTGCTGTTAGCAAAATATCTAATGACCTACTGAATGGATTTTAATGAAAGTTTTGGAAAGCAGTCGTCAAATGGACACCCACAATTGATTAACTTTCAAAATTGATCTAATTTGGGATAGTCACCACAACCGGTCAACCTTAGAAAACACAGAAAAGGCTATAACTCAGTTTTACAGATATTGCATTGAAATTTGATGTTGCAGCTGCAAGCCATTAAGAAAAAGGATGAGTCCCCTGGAGTTTGCAACTTTAAAGTCACAACACTTCAAATATATCAACACGGGCCACCTTAAGGAGAATCAAGATCAGTCCCTGTCATCTACCACCCACGCTGAGTCAAAGCAGCCTTTTGGCTCTGACTGTAGATGACCAGTGATCTGTCTGACTCTGCACTGCTGTGTCTTTCTGTGTGTCTGCTCCCGCTTCTTGTTCTAGGACCTTATATCTTGTGTTCCGCTCTCCCACTGAATAATTTAATAATCAGCCAATGACTGCAGTGCATTATTTAGGATGGCCAAAGGTGGTAAGGCTAAAGCTAGACCATACCAGAGAGCATGGCTTCCTTATCTTTTACTTTTAAGCAACATTGGAGGACGTCTCTGTTACAAGTCACTTTCTGTCTCCAACTCTTGCGTATCAAAGAGTTCTTATTGATAGTTCATATTCAAAACATGTACAGAGCTTCAGAAATGTCCTCCCTTGAATGGGATGCAGACACTATTTATACTTTGTTTGGTTTTAAGTCGATGCTGTTTGTGTCTCTGATGCTGCAACAACAGGTTTCCAGTGTGCTGAGAGATTCTTCCTCTCGAAACAGAGAAATAGCTTCACAAGAGCCAACTGTGCCTTGAGAAAACCCAGAATTAATTAAAGGCTAAGCATTGCTTGAAGGGATGCCCATCACCCACTTCTTTCTGTGTTAGCATTTTAAACTCAGATCATCACCTATGAAGAAACAACATTTAGAATTGTTTTTGTCAAGCTTTAAAACATTGTTATGCAAGATCGCCACATTTCACGCTCAAACTACCATATGCATTGTGAATGACAGCTCTGACCACCATAAATATTTGCTCAACATTTATAAACTGTAATTCAGTGAGTTAAAGATATTTAAGTGTTAGCTAAGATTGATTAGCAGTGGCAGCCATCTTGAAATGGTTTGATGTCAAAATTTAATCAGTAATGGATGTACATCTATCAAATACTTTTAAATATCTCATTAATATCCATATATGTTAGGCTGATTGATTGGTAACTCTAAATTGTCTCTTGGTGTGAGTGAGAGAGTGAATGGTTGTTTGTCTCTATGTGTCCCTGTGATGGACTGGAGACCTGTCCAGGGTGTCCCCCGCGTCTCACACAGTGACTGCTGGATATGGGCACCAGTGACCCCCGTGACCCAAAAATGGAAGAAGTGGGTAAAGGATAATGGATGGATGGATGGATGTATTAGAATCATTTTAAGGGAGAAAATTATTTTGAGGTTACTTTAATATCTGCCATTAGTTTACTGTTTTCTCTGATGTTGCATGCTGACCCTTTGGGTTGTGAGCAGGACGTTAAATAACATGCAGTGCAGTTGCCTTGGCAACAAATTGAGCGTCATCTATTGTAATGATAAAGGGGAACCATGAGAAGAAAGGGGGCAAATTACAGACTTGTTATCTCACTGAAGACTAATCACAACACACAGATGTATCAGATGTAAATATCCCAGAGACTTTATCCATTTCTAGAACAAATGAGTAATTTGTTGATATCATAACACAATCATATATTTATTATCTTCATTACGATAAGGATAATCATATGGTCAGGTCTACGTTTTATATTTTCCCAACTGACAAATTAAATGAGATCCTTACAATTTAAAGTGCTATTTCTTATTATACGTTGCATTTGACTACAATATCTGTGCTAAGTTTGTATTCCATAAGGACTTTGGTACAGAAATCTTACTTGATGTCATAGTTCTTCCTTTCTGTCACAAGCACGGTACTGAATTGTTTTTAATTTATTATTTTGTTGTTCACATTGCAAATATAGTAGAGGAAGAAAGGTGTTACTGAAGTGTAGAAATGTGCTCAGAAAGGGAGATTTAAATTAATCTTTGCTGAAGTTGCACATAACTCATGTTAAAAGTTAATATGTTGAACATTTTATACCAGTTTTATACTATACTTATGTTGCATCTTAAAATTGATGATACAGCAAATGATTAAGACAAATTAAGATAGCAATATTTAATACAGCTCAGTATGTACTGGATTTGTATTTAGTACCAGGTACTTACATACCTTGTACCTATCAGGTACATGTTAGGTAAGTACCTCATAAGTACTGGGCTGTATATTGCTACCCTAATTGTTAATGCATCTTAAAGTGAAATTATTCTAGTAATTTTGTGCCAATGTACTTGTTCATCAAATAAAATAAACTACCACCACTACTACTACTGCTTCTACTACTACTACTACTACTACTACTACTACTACTACTACTACTACT